TCTGAGTGCTAAAAACCCAGGTATTCAAAGTCAGAATGAAGGAGCACATTTTGCTCTAAAAGTGACAGGCAGAGGGAGGTGGCTGTAGCAGAACAGGGTCTGTCTGGAGACAAAGCGGAGCCGGAGGATGAGTAGACCCATGAGAGGTAGAGACTCCAGAGCAGTGGGGGGCTAGTTATTTGGTCTGGCAAAGTGACAGAAAATCCCCAGGCCCTGAGCATGGTGCAGGCGAGGCCCATGGGGCAGTTTGCCTGGTGCGGTTTGGGGCATGGAGAAGCTGGAAAGCTCTGTGAGTGGATAAGGTCCCTGGCTGAGCTGTGCCCCCTGCCATGTGTGTGATTCAAACTGTCCCTCGTGCCCCTTTTATGTGTCTGTTGCGCTTCCAGCTTCTTTCCTCAGGCACGTTCATCCGGCAAAGACCCCCCCAGGGATCTTGTATCTTCCTTTGTGCATCTCAGCCACAGACGCTGCCAGAGCTGGAAGGAAATTGCTGCACTTTGGGAGTCAAAGATGTTGTCTGGGACCATAGAGCAGTTTCACTTTTCTGAAAGGGCTATTTGTGAGCTGTGTTTTGGTCAGCTGGCTAGCTCGGTTGGTTAGTGCATGGAGCTAGTAATGCCAAGGTCATAGGTTCAAGCTCTGTGCTGGCCACAGGTAAGTTTGCTGTGGCTACTGTTCTATCCCTGTGAGTGTGTGCACCACCACCCTTTAGCTGTCTGCTATACACAGGGAAGCAGAAATAGGCAAAAAAAACTGTGAGCTTTTCAGGCAACAGGACAGAAAACTGGTAGGAGGAGGCTCCGGCCTGCACAGACCCAGTGGCTAAAAGGCCCTTGGCCTGGCCGGCTTTCCCCAATAGCAGGGAAAACTCTTCTTTTCCCTCTATTATGGGGCTACTAATGGGCCTTCTGGCTCAGCTGTTTAGAGCTTGATGCTAATAATGCCCAGGTCACGGGTACAAGCCCCATTCAGACCCCACAACAGCCAAATTAGTTTTGTTTGAGCTGCTCCCCATGAAAAGCGGTGAGAGGGAACCGTTGGCTGTGGGACCCACTTGTGCCTGTTGTTCAGGGTTAAATAAGATCTCCCCCAGGAGGTCACCTGTTCCCTTCCCACCTTGCATTGGCTGGGAATCAAATCAAGCAAGCTGCAGCAAACGCCAGGCACTGTCAGTGTCTGGGCCACAGATAAAGACCCTGTTGGAGCTGTGGTCCCAGGAGGAGTCTCTGCAGTCCATGCAGAGGAATGTGGACATTTATGGCCGAATGGCCAATTGTCTTACACAGAAAAGCCACCTCCTTCCTACCCCCACATCCTAGACCAAGTCAGAGCCAAGGCCAAGGAATTGCAGCAGGGGTATGTGAAGGAAGCTCACTGTGAAATCAGACCAGAGACGGACACTGTCAGTAAACACTCATATCAGAAAAGCTCCTCTGGATGCTGGGCCCCCCAGAGCCGTGTGCCGCTGCCATTTGCCTGCTCCGTGGACGTCTTCCCATTGCAGAGCGCGCGCCGAGCCAGACTGTGACTAGACAGCCCGTCTCTGGGCACCCAGGGGCTACATCTACACTGCAGGCTTCTTGCTCAAGAATGGCCGTTCTTGTGCATAAACTTGAGGAACATCTACACTGCACACATGTTCTCGTGCAAGAAAGTTTACAGCAAAATGAAGCAAAAGGGCTTCTTGGGCAAGAGTTATTCCTCTCCCCATGAGGAATAAACCCTCTTGTGCAAGAGCTCTTGCACAAGAAGGTAGTATGAATGGGCAACAGGGTGGAACGGCTGGGCTGACCCAGGGCCTGAAAGGGGCCATTAGGCAAAGACCAGAAGTGGTGATGCTGGGGGAGTGGTTGCCCTGCACTCTCCATGGTGTGAGGAGCCGGGCAGGAGAGGAGTCCCAGAGGTTGTTGGGTGGGAGAGTAGAGTTTATCAGACTTTGGGCTAAGCTCTAGAGCAGCCAAGGGAGAGGTGGGGAAGTGACTTCTGGATACTCTGTGTGGCCCGGGGATGCGGATCAAGAGCCGTCCTTGTGTTTTTTGCCGTAAAGTGTTGTTTCTGGGTCCTTTGCCTAAGATGGAGCACTTCTTCCTTTTGGAGAGCCATGTCACAGGCACAAGCCCCCAGAGACCCCTCCAGGGACACTTCACAGGCAGGGCCAGACTGAGCCATTCCGGTGCCCCGGGCTGACAGTTCAATTGTGCCCTGTGGACCGAGGACAATGATCAAGCGATTTGTCTCCTGCCATTGTTCTCCAGCCTCTGACAAACAGAGGCCAAGGACACCATTTTATCCCCTGGCTAATAGCCTTTTATGGACCTAACCTCCATGAAATTAAATTATCTAACATATGGCCCTGCAGAGAAAGGCCACCTCCCCCCACCTAGAACAAGTTAGACCCAAGGTAAATGAATTCCAGGAAAGGTATGTGAGGGCCAGCGCCCCTCTGGGGAAGCACTGAGCATACTGTGAGGACCTGGACCCAATCCCAGGGTGTGGGGAGCCCCAGAGAGCACCTGGGCAGCAGCAAACCAGGCCTCCTCCCCTGCCATGTTCCAGCCAGGCCAACAGGGAGTGTTTCTTGTGGTGTGATCTGACTTCTCACCCCACCCCTGTAGCCACCCTGCTTGAGACCAGGGCCAAGGGAAAGCAGGAAGAGCCCAGGCTGCAGCTGCAGCACAGCTCCCCTTTCACCCCTGCAGGGCAACTTGTGACCACAGCTCTAAGCAAACACACCAACTTGAAGTTATTAGCACCTGCCAAAGCCTGGGATTGAACCAGGGACCTTTACATCTTCAGTCTAACATTCTCCCCACTGAACTACTTTGGCTGCTGCAAAGGCTTATCTGGCCTGTAATTCTCTGTCCGGGATGTTTGGCAGCTGGGCCACCCTCACAGCCCAGAGCCAAGGTTCCCGCTAAGCCAGGCCTGGGCAATACAGGCCAGTGGGCTGGATCCAGCCCATGAAGCCACCCAACATGGCAGCAAGAAGCCTCAGGCAGATTCCCTGCTCGCCCTGCCCCCACGCACAGCTGAGAGAAGGAGCTGCTGGGCCCTTTGTGTCTCAGCTGTAGAGGAAAAGGCTTCATGCTTGGTCCCTGCTCCAAGCTTGTTTGTGGCCAATGGGAGCTGCCTGCTTGAAGCCCTGGCCAGTCCCCACAAGCTCTTATTCACCCAGGGGTATGATCTGTGCCAAAGAAGGAGCTGCCTGAGAAATGTGCTTGGCTGCTGGGAGTGTCTCCCAGTCAGAGCCTGCCTCTGGCACCCCAGCCCCTCCCTTCCCTCAGCCCACTGGTACCCCACTTAAACCAAACTCTCTGCCTCCTTGAACGCCCAACCCTCCCAGATCCTGCACCCCAATTCTCTGCCCCAGATCACAAACCAACATGCTGCAACCGTTCCTGCACCCCAGTCCTCTGCCCCAAGCTCCTGTCTGCACCAACCTGCATCCCAGACCCCCACCTCCTCCGTTAATAGCATGGAAAAGTGTAGCCCTGGGAGTGGTTCCCCATGAAAACTCATTGCCCACCCCTGCCCTGAAGTGTGCTGCCATGTCTCCCCAGAGCCCTTAGGCTGGCACCGGGGAGGCCTGAGTCCAGGCAGTGCCCAGGGGAGCCCAGCAAGGGTGGAGGGAAAGGCTGGAATTTGCGGGTGGGGCCGGGGACTGTTCTGAAAGGCTGCAGGTGCAATTAGACCCTTTTGTCCTTCCCTGTTTCACCCCAGCGCTGAGCAACACTCAGTGTCGGTCTGAGCATCCGTCCTGCTCTGGGACGTGTCTCTGTGGCAGGAACCCGCCCAGGCGGCTCTCGCAGTGAGGCCCCTCCCTGGCAGCACCGAGCAGTGAGAGCTGAGTGAAGGGAAGAGGCAGTACCTGCCCAGCGCTGAGCAACACTCAGTGTCGGTCTGAGTATCTGTCCTGCTCTGGGACGTGTCTCTGGGGCAGGAACCTGCCCAGGCGGCTCTTGCAGAGAGGCCCCTCCCTGGCAGCACCGAGCAGTGAGAGCTGAGTGAAGGGAAGAGGCAGTACCTGGGTGCGGGAAGGGGGGTGAGAGGAAGGGAAGACTCCATGGACATGTGAGAGGGAGGCTCTGCCCTGGCCAGTGGGGAATCGTTGCCTCTCCGAGGGGCCCAGGCCTGGTGGGTCATTTCCCTAGGTTACTGAGTCGGGGCTGGAGCCAGTTCTGTGTTGTCTCCTTCAACAACCAAACTGAACCAATGGATCTTGTGCCCACCTGACACTGCGCTGGGCTAGTGCTGTGTGTGCCACAGAGCTTCCTGTAGCGCTGCCCATGCAGGAGAGGGGAGGGCAGTTAGAGTCACCCAGCTCTGCCCCTTCTGAAAATGGCAAGTGTTGTCTTAGCAGTGAGGGAGAGGTGGGAAGGAGCCTGAAGTAACCTCTTGGGTCACAGCTGCTGTAACATGTGGCAGTGAGGTGAGAAAAATGACTAGGCAGTGTCTATGTGAAACATCAGGCTGGTTTCCCTGAGTGGGAATCAAATCCAGGCCACAGCAGGGAGAGTGCTGGATCCTAACCACTAGATCACCAGAGACACAAGAAGTAGACCTTTTTGCTTACCCACATTAGCCTTTCACAGGCTATTTTCTGTCCACTTCAGGATGGGGGGAGGGTCCATTCTCCGTTGCCCAGAGGGGACAAGAACAGCCAAACAGAACATCAGAACAGCCAGACTGGGCAATGTCAGTTGTCCAACTAGCCCAAGATCCTGTCTCACAACAGCAGCCAATTTCATTGTCCTGAGGGAATCCTCAGGACAGACAGTTATTAAGTGATCCCTCCATTCCCAGCTCCTGGAATACACCAGCTAGGGTCACCTTCCCTGTCCATCCTGGCTAAATGCCATTCATTGTGGCCCCCGAGACTTCCAAAGTTGAGTAGTTCTGAATTAAAGGTTCTTATTAATGTCAAGAACCTCAAGCAATGTAAAGCCAGAGCGCGATAGGACTGGAAAGGAAAATATTTTCACTAGAAGGAATTTTTTCCAAGGGGGAACTTGGAGTTGAACCAAAGACCACTTGATCTGCTGTCAAACACTCTACCACTGAGCTATACCCCCATGGAATTTGGTTTCTACATCCAGCGTTGGGAACTGAGCAGGAAACAAGGCTTTTGTGTAACACACGTCTCAGGTGGGAGGGACCCTCACTGACCCCAGATTGTGACTGGTCCTAACAAGGGATTTGCCCTGAAAGCAGCAGAGCTGGGGCACAACAGAGAGTCTTGAGCAATGAAGGGGCTGGAGGGAAGCCAGGAGAGAAGAGGCCAACCTGAGAGCCCAAGGGGCCCCCATTAGGTGTCAGCTGTAGGGACCAAGGTGAGAGGCAGCAGGACCCACTTGTGCCTTTTTTTCCCCCAGGGTTAAAGTAAAAACTCTGCAGAGAATCATAAACTAACCTCTCCACATTGCATTGACTGGCAATTGAACCCAGGTCAACTGCTTGGAAGACAGCTATGCTCACCACTATACCACCAATGCCCATGCTGAGCATACCTGTGAAAATTAGTGAGGAAAGTCCATATCTGCCATGAAGCACACTTGAGGCGAAAGGGTGCCCATGTGGTCTGGGGTAAAGCATAACTTCTTGCCCGATTGGCTAAAATCATGGGGAGGACGAGGGGGGTGTGATGCTGGGGCAGAAACAGCCCTGTCGCTCTCTGTGGTGTGAGGGATTGGGTGGCATAGGAATAGCAGAGGTTTCTGAGTGGGCGAGTACAGCTCCTTGTCTCCTGGGCTAAGTTCAAGAGCAGCCAAGGGGGAGGCAGGGAAGTGGCTGTCAGACACTGTGGCTATATCTACACTCGTGGCTTCTTGCGCGAGTAATATGAAAGAAAAACCCTCTTGCACAATGCCGTTCTTCCTGTCAAGTAATAGGTGTAACTGCCCCTTTTTCTTGCGCAAGAAGGGGCAGTGTAGATGCTCCTTCTTACGCAAGAGCCTCTTCTGAAAAAAATGGTGGCTCATTAGGTATGCAAATGAGGCTCAGCGATATTCCACGCTTAGCCTCATTTGCATATTACTCGCTCGAGAAGCCAGGGATACAGACCAAGAGCTGCCCTCATGTTTTTTGTCATGAAGTGTTTCTCGGCCGTTCAGCTAAGATCGAGTGCTTCCAGCTACTCAGAGATCCATGTCACAGGCACAAGCCCCCAGAGACCCCTCTGGCCCTTCCAGGGACACATCGCAGGACCAAGCAAGTGGCAGCAAGTGCTGGGCACTCTCATGGTCCAGGCCAGAGATAAAGCTGTGGTCCGAGGAGGAGTCTCTGCAGGTCCTGCAGTCCAGGCAGAGGAATGTGGATATTTATGGCCATATGGCTAATATTCCACGCTTAGCCTCATTTGCATAATACTCGCGCAAGAAGCCGCGAGAGTAGACATAGCCTCTGTGCGGCACAGGGATACAGACCAAGAGCTGCCCTCATGTTTTTTGTCATGAAGTGTTTCTCGGCCGTTCAGCTAAGATCGAGTGCTTCCAGCTACTCAGAGATCCATGTCACAGGCACAAGACCCCAGAGACCCCTCTGGCCCTTCCAGGGACACATCGCAGGACCAAGCAAGTGGCAGCAAGTGCTGGGCACTCTCATGGTCCAGGCCAGAGATAAAGCTGTGGTCCGAGGGTGAGTCTCTGCAGGGCCTGCAGTCCAGGCAGAGGAATGTGGATATTTATGGCCATATGGCTAATGGCCTTGCAAAGAAAGGCCACCTCCCCCCACCCCAGACCAAGTCAGAGCCAAGGTCAAGGAATTGCTGCAGGGGTATGTGAGGACCCGTGAGCACAGCTCCCACACTGGGGAAGCACCATAGCACTGTGCATACTGCGAGGAACTGGACCAAGTCCTGGGGAACCCCTGTCTCCAGGGTCAGTTGTGGAGTCTGGGATGGAGACGCCTGGGCAGCAACGGCCGTAGCTTCAGGATGACAACCCTGATGACCAGCAGCTCCAGGATGAGGAGAAGGAGGATTCCAGGAACGTTGTGACCCTCACCCTGGAACATGTCCCCTAGATACAAGAGGCCTCCCAAATGTCTTTGGGCACTGGGGAGGGAACATCAGGTGAGTGCTGTGAGGTTGCAACACACAAAGGGCAGGCGGAAGCACAGGGGATGATGCGCTATTGTGACACATCATGCTGATCGTAGGTGGGGGGACATGACCCCATAGAGGGCCGTCCTCCCCCCACCATGTGTGCAAGGCACACCTGCTCCTGCAGACAGTGCTGCCAGTGGCTAATTTCCTAACACTGGATGCAAACAAGCAAATGTAATGGGGGTGTAGCTCAGTGGGAGAGTGTTTGACTACAGGCAAAGTGGTCCCTGGTTCAACTCCAAGTGCCCCCAAAAGGTTGATCAACTTCAATGAAACCTTTGTATCTTCGGGTGTGTCACATTCTGGGTTTCTCTTGTGCAGCGATTACTATAAACACCTAATGTGTTAATGCCTGTAAACCAGGCAAACCCATCTCTCAACTGAAACAAGTTCAAACCTGCTGTGTGTCTGATTTCTATTCCCATCAATTCAACAAAGCTGAGATCTGAATTCCTGTTGGCAGGTCCTTGGTCTGCATGGGCTGTCCTGTGCAGAAGAACACGAATCACACCCAGTAGAAGAGGAATGGCTGCAATCAATCCTTTGGAGTTTGATTTAGCAAGTCCAACTAAGACTCACTAAATCAAATCAAATTCAGAGGGTACCCCACCAGCTTCCAGTAGTTCTACTCTTTGCTCCCTTTGGGTTCCTGCAGTAGGGACACAGCCAGGCTCAACTGAAGGAAGCCAACTCTCGCTACGTAGGGTATGTTTACACTTGTACCCTCTTTCCAAGAAGGGATGCAAATGTAAAGATTGAAAACTGTAAATGAAGCCACCAGGGACACATGCAATGGGCCTGCAAAAAAATGAAACATGAAACAGCTGAGCACTTTTCAGAGAACAGGCCATAGCTCTGCTTGGAGATGCTCCATCATGTATAGATTTTGTGCCAGGCCAGACTGCTGGGAGGAGGCTCTGGCCATGGACTTTCCTCCCCTCTCTGTTACCTCCTGCACCTGGGGCTGAAAGGGACGTGGGCTGCAGGCTGGTCCTGCCCAGCTGCCTTCCCCAGTGGGAGCAGAAAATGCTTCTGGAAGGGATCACACACTGTCCTCAATGCACTGGCCTGAGGGCCTGAATTCTTGCTGCCCCTGGGTGTACCCAAATGCCCCTTCTGTGACCAACCGGGCCGTATCTGGGCACAGCTGAG